GGCAGCGCGCCCCGCTCAGGGTCGCGCTCGGTAGCGCGGCGGCTCCCGGGAATCTGGCTGGCTCTGTTACCCGGAGACCCGCGCTGACCCAAGTGTCCGCCTGTCCGTTGCATGTTGCTTGACCCTGCTTGATCTTACCCTGTTTGGGTTTGCACCTGTGGAAAGAGCAGTGTTCTTGCCCATCATGATGAAAATCCTCATCATCTTGATCACTCAAGCTGAGTGCTAACTATGTGCCGTCTACTATGTGAGGGCTTTACATGCGTTCTCCCAGTTGATCCCCGCAATAACCCTATGAAGTAGGCTTTATTATCTTATGGGTAGGAAACTTGAGGCCCAGAGAGGTTAAGTAACTTACTCAAGGCCGCACAGCCGGTTAAAAGGAAACCTGTATTTCCTCTTTAAAAGTTGGAGATGAATTTTACATGGGGAGTCCTCGTTTTTATTGTTATTTCCTAATTACGTCTGCTCACTGGCGTCTATGTAAATTCCAATTTAGAGTAGGTTAAGGAAGTACCACCCCCTCTACCCCCATCATTCAGAAAAGAGCCTTTTCTGAATACAAAGTAAGTTTTGGGAAAGGGAGGTGCAAAGTGACCCATGGGGTCATTGAACAGAGGTGATAATGAGGTGCCCCAAGATCTTGAAATCACTTGTTTGGTAGTTGAAGTATAGTTTTCATTGAGATGTGAAAAGCACTGGGAAGCTTTTGCTTCTAAGTCACAGCCACTATAATCCTGAACTGGCAGCATAATTTTCAAAGGCTCCTGCCTGGAAACAGGACCTTAACTAATTTCCATAACCAAGGTCTCGTTTGTTTTTTCATCCTGTCTTTTGTTCTTTTCTGTGAATGCGCCATCGATTTCTCTCTTATAGTTCTCTTGGGAATGGCCCCACTTTCAAAATTCAAGGTTAACAGGCTATGAATTATCACTTACTGCCGTCACTGTCCACTGTCACAGCCTTTAGATCCGATCCTGGTGGATCCATCCCTGGGAGAAGAACCCCCTGGTAGCCAGCTGAGTAGGGTGGGGAGAGTGGCACAAGCAAAGACAACTTTCTTGGCTTGGTTTTTTGCAGTTGAAAGTCGATTTTAAATTACTTGAATCAGCGTATTTATTTTTCTAAACTAGTGAGAAAGGGTGGGATCTAAGAGAAAGATCATTCTGAGGCCGCTTTTTGATGATGATGTGTTTAGTCACCTGATATTTCGAAACTGTCAAGAAGCCACAACTGTACACATAGTTAGAAGTTAGATCATCAAAGTTGTGGGATTTTTTTTTTAATTTAAAATGTTGTTTTTGGAGCCGCCTACTGGCAGCCAAAACTAACTGAAAAGTGCTGTTCTCTGAAGTTCATAGAGCCAGAGCTGAGGCTGGAAGGAGCCTGAGACACCCCGGGGTGGAGGGAGGTAGGGAGCATGGTCTTTGGAACCAGACAGACTTAAGCTCTAATGCTGACTCCAACCCTGACCAGTTCTGTCGCTTCTGAGCAACTTACTTAATTTCTGAACCTCAATTTCCGTATTAGTCAAATGAGAGAAATAACTACCTCAAGTCTGTCACATACAATAAGCACAGTAAATTGTAGCTCTAATTATTACATAAATATTTTGCAGATAAAGACACTGAGACCCAAATATGCTAGGTGACTTGCTCACAGTCACACAACTGGTTTGAAGTGAACTTATGATTAATACTTACTGGGTGCCTGCCGTATGTCAGGCACTCGTCCGAGTGATACATACCTCATCCTCACATTGACACTACCCTCCCCATTTTAGGGATGAGAAAGCTGAGGCATCCAGAAGTTACTAAGGATCCTCAATTCACCTAAGTTGCAAGGAGCAGAATCAAGATTTCAAACAGAGCTGGCTAACTCCAGAGCCATGCTGCCTCTAGGTTGGTTACCTGTCTCAAAAACAAATCATACCAGCCCTTCCAGATGAGTAACTCCTGAGTTCTCAAACTGGAATGCTCTACCCCATAAGCATTAAACTCAGCCACCTTTGTCTGCCCACAGAGCATTTCTACTCATGTAATATGAAAAACATTGATGATAAAATGTTAGAAAAGCAGAATACAAAATTTTGTATTCACTAGCAGTTATAGAAAGAAAGCATACTTGTAGGAGAAGATCCACAATATACTAACAATGATTGCAACAAAGCACAGAATAGTAACTATTTTCCTTATTTTCCAAACTTTCTATAATGTGGTTTGATTCATTTTATAATGAAAAAGACATTTTTTTAAGGGAGGGAGGGAAGTATTTTAAGCCAAGCAGAAGAGCTGCCTGCTTGAAATGCTGGGGCCCAGACACTTTGTTTCTTTTCTCTGCTGGGGTGAGACTGCAGGGATGGCTGGTGTCCTGGAAACACAGCATCACCCCACCTAGCCTTCATTCCCTACCTCTGCTCAGTTCCACAGCTGTATTTGCACATTTGTCCTCTCAGGACACTTGCTTTCTCTGGACTTTTCACTTTAGTTTTATCATTGTACCAGGATTGTAAATATCAAAAAGTCAGTGACATGTGGTGAGGTGTGAAGTCTAAAGTTCTGTTTTGCCTTTTAGCCCCACATAGAACCAGCCCCATGCAGAGCCTCCATTCCTGGGCGGGAGCCAAGGTCAAGAGCAGCAGAGTGACTTGATAGGGACAGTCTCTGGGTCTTTGGGAGGATATGCTATCAAGGCATTGGAGAGACTTTTTTAGAACAGCATTGTCCAGAGAAATATAATGTAAGCTATATGTACATTTAAATTTTTTAGTAGCCACATTTTAAAAAAAGGAAAAACAGGTGAAATTAATTTTATTAATGTATTTAATTGAGCCTAATATATCCCAAATTAGGTAAGATTAAAAATTTACTTTCTCAATCAGACTGTTCATTCGCCTGATGTGCCTGGCAGCCACCCCACTGATATTTTAGTGTGTTTTAGTGTATTGGGGTCTTTCCAACAGCTCCTCGTCCTTTGTGACTAATACAGAAAGCAGGGCCAGAGGAATTTTGCCAAGTTAGACCAACCTCATTTCGGGGAACCAAAAAGAAGATTGACTTGTGATCCCTGTGGAAAGCTCCTCCTGAGACACCTTCCCTGGTGCAGCGCTGTGTATGTTCCAGGCAGGAGCTGGCTTCCATCCTGTGGTTTTGGAGCTGCAGCCAGGGGGTGCAGTTTGCAGTTGGGAACCCGCAGCTGCCCAGCCACAGGGGCCCCAGCAGTGTTTCCTGCCGTGTTGCTGCCCCTTAATTGGCCTGGGCCCCAGTGACCGACCTCATGTCCCAGCACAGCTGGGGGGACAAGGTGCTTATTCAGGGCAGGCAAGGGTTCCCCTGTGGAGTGCTTCCTCCCCACGCAGCAGCTCCAGCTTCCTCGCTGGTGCAGGGCCTGAGTCCAGCCCTGTTCTAAGGAGAATTGGGATCGTTCTCCCAAATGGGTCAGCAAACACAGAATTGTATTTGAGGCCAATATCTGCCTCCATAATTTAAGAGAAATGGGGAATAGATTTTGAAAATACCCCTTTTCCCTCCTTAGCTCGTATGCTCAAAACCTTTATTTACATCAGCCCTTGTGATAGCTCATCTTGGGATATAAGCCAAGCCAACTACACAGCCCACTTCCCTTCTAAACTCTCTTACATGGAACATAGAGCTGACTTTGAGTCCCCATAGTAGAGCTCCAGCCTTCATGATTTGGCCCTGGTGCTTTTCAGAAGGGTTTCAGGAACACTGGTTATGCAAGTGAAACTTCCTGTTTACCCGCTTTTCATAATTAATGGCTGAGGATGACAGATTGTGACCGCAAAAGTGTTCAAATGTCATTCCTTTGAGCCCACATTTGTAGTACTCACGTGGGTAGTAGCACGCCAGACAACTCTAGCGGTCCAATTTGCACACAAAGAATTGAACCAGGAGTCGCAGCAGCCACAGATTCTAAGTCCATTTACAGCTAAAGATGATTGTTTGGAAAGCAAGATGTCAAGAGTCAGAAGTTAGGGATTCAAGGCTGATGCTCCCTGGATGGTCTCACCCTCTTGTGGTTCCTGTGTTTGTTGACAGCTCCCAAATCTGTGCCCCCAGTGGACACTGTGCTCTTTTTTTTAACTGAAGTATTGTCAATTACAATATGTCAGTGTCTGGTGTACAGCATAGTGGCCCAGTCATGCATATACATAACATATATTTGTTTTCATATTTTTTTTCATTAAAGGTTGTTACAAGATAGTGAATATAGTTCCCTGTGCTGACACTGTGCTCTTGAAGTGCAGAGCCCTGTATTCAGCTGCCTTCCTGATATCCCAGTGCAGGACTTGCAGGTTTCCCCACTTCCACCTGACCAGAATCCGCAACCTGCCCCTCTGCAGTGTTGCTGTTCCCCTAAACAATCCCCCCCACCCCGAGGTGACCAAGCTGAAAGTCTGGGGCATTTGTGACTTTTCCCTCCCCTCTGCTTCTGACTTACAAAGTCCTGCAGGATCTGGCTCCCGCTTAGCCCCCGAGCATGCGCTCACAACCATCCACCTGGATCTTGAGCCATATGGAAAGCACCACATTCCCACTCATCTGCAGGTTTCCACAGTGTTCCTTCCTCCATTCTTGATCCTCTCAACCATTCAAGGTTAAAGGCATTGATTGCAGGAGTCCTCCCCCGACCTCTGCCCATGTGGATCTGAGGAACATCCAGTACTAACATGGTACTCATCACACTGGCTTGTTGCCCTTGTCCTGGGAGGGCCCCATCCAGTACCATCTCCCCTGCACTTAGCACTATGCCTGATGGATAATAGGTGCTCAGTAAATATTTGCAGAATAATGGTTGACATTGACAGAGAACTTTGCACCAAGTGCCTTGCTCAGTAGGTTGCCTGCACGACCTCATTTCACAAGAGTAGGATCTGGGAGACCGTCTAGGACGTGATGACTGTCAAAGTCTGGAGGGACACCAGTTGGCTTCAACTAGGATGAGAGTGGTGGAGAGAAGTGGGCAGATTTGAGCCCCGAATACAGCCAGAGTCAGCAGGACTTTGCTGATAGTTTGACTGACGGGTCTAGGGAAGAGGAGCAGGGAAGGCGAGAATCAAAAGGAGTCAAGGATAAGGGCTAGGTTTTTGGCTGGAGTAACTACTGGATGCTCCTGCCTCTCCTTCCTGAGCAGAGGATGAAGGGCGGTGTGCCTGGGTGTGTTTGGGGAGCGAGGGGAGGTGTTTAAAAGATCTCTTTGCTATGGGTTAGGTTTCATATGCCCATCAGGTAGCGAGGCAGAAATGGATATATAAATGGGGAACTCTGGAATAAGATCAGATGAGGCTGCAGTTCCCCATTTAGAACTTCCCAGAACTCCATGAAGTAGAGCAACTGAGGTCGTGTGACTTCCTTCCTGTTTCAGGGCACCTGCTACACAGCCAGCACTTGAACCCAGGCACACTGATTGTCTCCAGTTCTAGGTTCCCTCAATTTTCCAGTGTGGCTTTCTCCACGCCAGCAGTTGGAATTGCTTTGAAGGTCGAAGTATGCTGTACTTAGAGATTTTCAGTGTAATCAGGTATGCTTACAGTCCAACCAGAACAGAGCAGAAGAAAAGGTGCCAGGGAATGGTGAGGGCCTGGTGCAGTCGCGGTCACTGGCCACCGTTGCTGGGTTCACTTGGCAGCTTCTGGGCAGTTGACTGCGAATATCTAGTATTTGCTTTACTTACAGAAGAGCAGTGTTTCAGCTTGAAGTACGTTATTCAGATTTATCCCTTACTATAAAATCACAGATGTGAAAAAGAACCAACTCCTTCCCTTCTGCTGGTTGCATCTGAGTACTCAATTCATAGTGGCTGTAGAAAAGAGATACTGCATTTCTTGTGTTTGACGCCTGCAGGAAGGGATGTGCTTTTTTCTCAGGGTGGGGATGTGTGTCTGTATTTTAAACCCGCATACACATATAAACATCTGCTGATTTAAAATAACCTTTTTTTTCTGTTTTATTTTAGGGATCATGACTCTTCTTGCTTCTCGCCTAAGTTGAATAAGCACCTTGTGCACTTTAATCCCCTGTCAGTGCCATCGGGCTGACTGAAGACAGGTTTTTGAGATCTCAGCTATAAAGACATCCAGCCAAAGTCTCAATCTTGCCTTAACAATGTTCCAGAGACTGAATAAAATGTTTGTGGGTGAAGTCAGTACTTCTTCCAACCAAGAACCAGAGTTCAGTGAGAAAGAAGATGATGAATGGATCCTTGTTGACTTCATAGGTAAGGTTATTCTTAGCCATTAATCGTCACAGCAAAAGTAGAAGCTCTTGCATCTAGTTACCAGTAACTCTGAAGGTTTTTAAGCCTTAAAAGTAAATAAACAAGAATTTATCTCAAAAAAAATTGCAGGAAACATTCTGTGCCAGATGACTGGTGAAACTGATTGACGTCAGACTTTCCAGTTTTGCAACTCTTGACACCCTGATCAAATCAGAGGCACTTTAAGAGGAAACTCATACTAGAGAAACCGTAACCCATTTGGCTCAGAAACAGTCTTAAAACCATTCCTGCAAAACCAACATAATCCATCCCATATAGTGATACATCCCTCAACCCTGCCACACACATACAGATACTAGATGCTCAGAAATTATTTTATAATCATTATGAGTGAATATAAATGGTTTTGTTTCTGACCTAAATAAAGAGAGGAATGTATCAGCTAACAGTGTCATCTCTTCTTTTTCTGTGCTCTGATGTGCTATCAATGGGATACTTAATGTCCCGTGGGATTTCAACAACACACGTGGACCACGATCTAGACACTTGCACTGGTTTCTCAGCAGTGGAAGACGAGGAAGAAGAAGATGCCAGTGAAGAGTCACCCGCCGAGCACTCTTCAGTCTTTTCCTGTTTACCTGCGTCCCTTGACTGCTTAGCTGATACAAGTGATTCCTGCTTCCTCCAGTTTGAGTCCTGCCCAATGGAGGAGAGCTGGTTTATCACCCCTCCCCCGTGTTTTACTGCAGGTGGATTAACCACTATCAAGGTGGAAACCAGTCCAATGGAAAACCTTCTCATCGAACATCCCAGCATGTCTGTCTACGCTGTGCATAACTCCTGCCCCAGCCTCAGTGAGGCCCGCTGTGGGACCGAGGAATTTCATAACCCAAGTAGTCCCAGGTATGTCCCTGTCTCCACAGGCATCGTCTATTTAGCATGCATTTTATTTATTCTAGTACAATTCAAAGCTAAGGTATTAGAAGATGCAAAGTAGTATTGTTACAGATTTATGAGAGTATGTGCCTGGTGTACTGGGCGGTTGATAGTATGAAAAAACGTGTTCATTTTAGATTTTCAAATAAGTTAGTTATAGCATGGGCCCTGGTTAAGTAATGGAGAGCCGCCTCGTTTATAATATTCTACTACCTTAGAACAGAACTCTACGCTTTATAGGCTGGATTAGTTGGGGTATCGAATTTGACAAGAATAGTATACCTGGAAATAAATCTCTTACTTTCTTGCACGTAGTCCTAGCTAGGTCACATCGAATGATGCTGAACCTTGAAAACCGAAGAAATCTTGAGCATGAAGTAAAGCGGCAGCTTTACCAAAACACGTGTTTCTCAAAGAGTCATTTCCCGCCTTGCAAAGGAAAGATCTCACACCCAAACAGTGTTTTGCTGTTACATGGGTGTCACAAGCAGTCCGGAAGGCTCTGCTTGAAGCAGATGAGCTGAGAACCCGGGAGGGTTCAGGGAGGTGCCTGGTCAGTGATATGCCCCAAAACAGACTTACAGCCTGTGGCCTTTACCCGGGGACTGCCTTCAAGACTGCTCCCTCCCACTGAAATAAAGCCCACGGCCAGGTCAGTTAGCTCAGAGTCCAGCTCACCATGACGCATGTTAGTGGAAAGTTCCTTATGGTATTAAAGTATTTGAAAGATGCTGGCACTGACTTAATTCCCTTACACCTGTGAGGGGTGCAGGTGAACTGGGGTCTCTGCAGCGTTTCACAGGATTCCTCTGGTTAGTGCTGTCATCCAAAGGCCTCTTTTGTGTTTTTCTTCTACTGTTTCCTGTTTGCCAAACATAAACGAAGCTCAGGCAGCTCATGAATTTGTTAACTTTACCAGAGTCTGCTACACTCCCAAGTCTCAGTGTTGTAGGTGATCTTGAATGAGGATAAACATATGCTTGTACCAAATTGAAGAGCAATTTGCTTTTGTAATTACCTAGGCTTTATACTGGTTAAGATCTTTGATGGGAAATGTTACTTTAACTGGCACTTTATTCAGCACTATAAATTTATCAAGAGGTTAATGTTTCAGTCATTGCGACAAAGTTTAAAATACAGTCTTTTGGGGGTGGTTTCGATTTAATTGCTTTACAGTTGGTTCAGATTAATTTCTTCAGTTCTTAGAAATTGTTCCTGCCTGATTTTGATCTCATCTTTGAGAAATTCCACTCAAGAATTTAGCATGATCAAAAGCCACTTTAAACTTACTGGCATGTGTGTGTTTACTTTTCAGTATTTAAGTGCGTGTACACACACACACACACACACACATATATATATATATTCAGCAGCTTTGTAAAACAACTTATTATAACAGAAGCAGTACATATGCACTGCAGAAAATGAGAAAATGCAGAAATTAAAACCTTTCAAATGACGCTGTCACTACTGAGAGATGAACGCTGTTAATACCCTTGGGCATGTCCTTCAAGATTGTTTTTTCGAGATGTGCCCCCACACACGCACTGTACCACGTTTTACCTAAATGGGGCCAAGCTGTATATACTGTTTTATAATCTGCCTCCTTAGGCAATGATCTCTACCTTTTTTTTTTTGCAGTGAAATTTCACTTAATCAGCTACACAAGCTATACTCAGATTTGCCCACTAGAGCCCAGAATATTTTGTCTAGTTTTTCCAAACCAGCATCCAGTTCCAGACCTTGCACTGCATCCGGTTATGTGTTTGCAGTTTTGATGCAGTGAAAATGTTTGTTTTTTTAGTATTTTGTTTGTTTTTGTATCTGGTTGTATGTTTTGATGTAACACATAGGATAGTTAAGCATGCAGGGCAAAGGATCAAAAAAACACAATTTTATATGAATTCTTCTGAACATAAGAAAGTACTATAAATTATTATAGTTTTATAGTAACTAAAAAAATTTTAACGTCTTTATTTTTGAATTTGAAATTCTTCTAAGAAAGGCCCACTAAATCAAGACAGCAATCAGGTGTTGCCAAAATTAGGAGAGTGGCTATGTAGTAAACGTCTGTATTTTCTGAGTAGGAAATGAAGCATATATTTTTCAAAAGCTAGTTTCCATCCTGTCTGTCCTTGGAGATATTCCCATAAAGCACATTAAAGTGAGATGCTTCGTAATTACAGCGGGGCTTTGCAGTAGGTACTTTTTTGCATTTAGCCTTTATGAATGCTGTTTGTGAAGGTTTACATGCTATCAGAGTGTTAAGTAATACATGTGCTGTTAATGACACTTGCTAAACCAGTTATAATGAAGAGAAGTTGACCACATCCTAACAGTAAAATTAAAGAGCACTTTAAACCTTACTAGTGATTTAATAGTTCGCCATTTAACGTTTGTAGGGCCAGGAAAAGCTGCTTATAAGACTCCCTGGCGCAGAGTAAGTATGTCCTCTTTGAGACCGTGTGGTGTATGTTACCAGTCTGAGCAGGGAGGCTAAGGACTCAAGGCTCTGACCTTTTCAAAACTACTGTCTTTAACTGCTCTCTCTTAATGAAGTTTCTTAAAGTGACAGGCTTTAATTCTACTATTTAATAAAAACAATATATTAAAAAATAATAGCGTTTTCCTCCAGTAAGTATAGGCAGAGTATGTAACTGCCTTCCTCTATAAAATAACCCTTGAAAATCTTAGTTCTTCATGTTCTGTGTTAATATAGTTTAGATCTATTTGATTAGCTTTTAACATAGAAAACATATAATAACTACATGATTTGTAGCCCTGTTTTAAGATTATGTGTTCTCCAGGGGTCTTTATAACATTGCTCTGCAAATGCCATTCCAAAATGTGCCCTGTTGTGATATAAATTAAATCTTAGTGTTGTCTTGTATAATAAGCAAGTAACTTTTTACCGAGAAAAATTGTCAATGAGTAGAATTTCTGTATGCATATTTTTATTAAATATAGACTTAAAACTAGTTTCCTAGAACATTTGATTTATAGGCACAACAAGGCTGTGAAGGTGCTGTTGGCACAACGCATGAGTGTGAACACCGCCTCTTAACCGTGGTCTTCAGGGCAGGACCTGTGTTAGAATCTTGGCTGAATCAGTTAATAACTGTGACCTTAATATTTCTGAGCCTGAGTTTTCTGATCAGTAAAACTTGGGAATTAAAATAGTTCCCTTTTAAGTCATGGTGACAATGAAAATACATAAAATTTGCAAAATAGCTGGCAAATGCAGATACTCAAAAAATGTTAGTTCCCCTCCCAGGAAAGCGTATATAAATGTGTTTGCTACGTAACTGAAATTCACTCCAAGTGTAAAGCGTTTTTTTAAAAAATACAGTCCACTTAATTAACCACCTGTGGATCATAAGGCATATTTCGATTGTAAGTTGGCTTCTCTTTTCTGCCATTGTCAGTCAAGGTGGTCACAAAGCATAAACGTCAACCATAAACAAATTAGTGTGGCCAAAGTAAATTGCTGAGTAACTCTTTTCAGTTTCATTAATGACGTGCTCTGTCACTTAATGCTCCTCATCTCTGTTTCAGAGTGGAAGCGGAGAATGAAGTGGGGCAGCACATTCATTGCTATGTTGCAGCTCTCGCTGCTCATACAGCTTTTCTGGAACAACCCAAGAGCTTTCGCCCTTCCCAGTGGATAAAAGAACACAGTGAGAGACAGTCTCTGAACAGAAATAGCCTTCGTCGCCAAAACCTTACCAGGGATTGCCACTCTCGGCAAGTCAAGCACAGCGGCTGGGCTGTCCATCAGCCCTGCCCACGTCAGTACAATTACTAAGAATTTCAAGTTCAGTTGGTTGGTTTCTCTTGGTTTGTGCATATGTGTGTGGATGTGTGTGTGTGGACGATGAAGATGCTGTCTCTTTACAGCCAACTGTTGACCAATCACATAGTTTTATCAGTGTGTTTAGACACTATCTTGAAAACCAGATTTACATGCTGTGTATCACGTAATGCCTTGCTCTTAACATTTACTTTTTTTGTAAATTTTTCAGACTCTTTTTGGAAACATATCAATACAGTTACAGTGTTTGGTGTTTGGGGATGTCTTTAAATCTATTAGGGTGTATATGAGTTAGCAGTTTAAAGACTTCTTCCCAAGTACGAGAATAGGCATCTTTTGATTTCATTTGATTTGGTATTAATCTTCTGAGTAAGCAGAAATGTATTCTCAGGGTCAGCCATACACTTTATTGACCAGTACTTGATACTCTTTTCTGTATATAACGGATACATTTTTACACACTAACATGAGCATTAACAAGTGATGGTTGCCATGGATATAATGGAATTATGGCTGAACTTTCTTTTGGAAGAAAACTTGATATATTTCTGTGTGTATGGGTTTTTTATTTCCCAGATTAGCCATGCAGTTCATTTTGGAATTCAGGTACATTAAGTGTTAGTGAACAGTGCATTCAGTAATTCCGATGTGACTGTGTGACGTGGTACAGACATTACAGGTATCGTAGGACAGAAGCACTCGTCTCACGTGCAGAGGGATTAAATTAAACCTGTGAAATTGTATTTGGAAAAATGTATGTCTATAACCCAGTAGTCCACTGCTTAAGTGGCCTGGATTCTTTCCTGCCAGCTCTGCCCACTCGCCACCTCGCGTCAGCTGTAAATTCAGAAGTCCTGGTCCTGGCACCTGAGTGACTTCACGTTTATATCATCTGCCCAAGGGAAAGGAGCTGGGCTGCATCTGATACAGGGACAGATCCTCTGCCGTGGAGCCTGTCCTGCCAAGTGGCCAGCGCGGGTGAGGGGGGTTCCTGATGACATCTTTTCATAGCATCTAAGTGAAGAGGGACAGGTTGGCTTCCTTGAGTTTTCATTTCCTTGTTTTAACTCGGGCTTCAGGCAAAATCTTTAACCACTTTGGCCTCTGTTCCCTCCACCAGCGGGGCGGGTGGGGGGAGCAGCACGGACCTCCCTCACGGGCGCTGGGAGGCCTGCGTGCTGATCTGAAGTGGGGCTGTCCCGAACTGAGCCCTGCGTGAAGTTCCCAGGGCCTCTCTACTGAATCGAGTGATGGGGTGGGGCCGGGGGTGACCGGCCCACCGCAGCCGTTCTTCAGACCGTTGGTGCTAATGAGGCCAGGGTGCAAGGTTCGAGTCACACAGAGGCCAGTTAACTCAACACAGAGAAAATCGATTTCCTTACCTCTAGCCAGTCACTTTATCTTTCAGCAGTTGTGATGGGTTTTGCTGAGCCATCCACTC